CGGGCCTATGGTCACAAGTGTTCCAGTAGAAACTGGGTCTCCTTGAATAGTAATGACATATGAAGGCTTCCCTTCAAAGAATGCTGAAAAGTTTTCATCACCGACAGGTGGGCATCCATAAACATAAAGCACAGGCTGAGAATTTCGATATTTTACAGACAAACGAAATGTTAGCAGTGAAGCCAGTGCCCCTCCAAGACTGTGGCCAGTTATGACAAGTCGTTTGTTTCCTAAATCCCTTGCAATGCTAGTTTCAATGGATTGATAAACTGAATTAAGAGCATTGACAAAGCCTCCATGAGCATATTCCCGTGAAGTGGATATAATCTTCTTTTGAATAAAAGATAAGTCAGTCACAGCATTTGTGAACGATTTTGTTCCACGAAAAGCGACAACAACAGTCGAGTCATTTGAAGCAATAAACCCATGAGTATCTGTGCCTTGGTCATAGATGGACTGCTTAGCCTTTAAATTATACTGACCAACTCCACTGACTACTTCATCATAAGGTTTATATGCTAAGTTAGACAACCTGGCATATGCAAGAGCTTCTTTTGTATTGAAAATTGGATCAAACTTTGGCGGTGGAGCAGCAGGAGTATCAGCTATTGTAGCTTGAATGACATTTGAGCCAAAACCGATTTGCTTGTATTGCGATCCAATGTAATCAAAAACTGGCCCCACATACTCCTCGTTTATAGGACCATCCTCGTCTTCTGTAATTTTTGAGAGATATGTCTTCTTTTCCTCTCCTGGACCGACCCACTGCCACCCCAGGTAGCCTTCATTTGGGTAGGGTAACATACTATCAAGAAATAAATAATCATACAATGCAAATAACAATTTTCGTTTTGGACTGTTTAAAATAATTTTAAGCTATCAAAAGGAAAAGCTAAACATACAATTGCATGCACTTATTTTCAATGTAATCAAGACTCTTAATGTTATCTATGCCTTATGCAAATTAACTTACCCTCTTGCTCTGTACACTCCTAGCCAGGCATATTTTCCTGATAGAGTACTGGTGGTGTCAACCACTGGATACACATACGTGTAGCTACGTTCCAGAGAGATTGTAAGTGTGATTTTGTCTGGTATTCTGCTAGGATCTACTGCTGATGTTGATACTGAATCTGGCAGATTTGGATAAGCTTTCAATGGCTCGGGCCATTCATCATAGCCTGGCTCAGCATTTTTTATATGACTAGGAAGGCAGTCCTGCTCCAGTATCGGATAAAGTAGGTCCCGCTCATGTGGGTTAAACTCCATCCAAAGGCTTTGTATTTTTGCCTTTGTTGGTGCTGATTCCTCATTTGTTTCCACTTGGAATGCTTTTTCAAGAGACTTCAGGAATGAGCTCAATTTAGGATCTACACTCCGCTCTTCCATCCTTGCATCGGATGGTACTTGAATTGGTGGTGAATGAACTACCCCATGTAACCTATTGCTAACAGCATCCAGTCGTTGATAGTCTCCTTTGAATATACGTAATTCATATTCCTCTCTACGGTCGGTTGACTCCTCTCCTGCAGTAGTACTGAGTTTACCAATGTAGTATGTTCCTTGTGTTGTCTTTTTGACCCATTGATATGTCAAGTATTTTCTGTCCGAAGCGCCAACCTTGTATATTCCCACCCAGTAGTCGTTGGTTTCAGGAGTTCTATCAAGGCTCCACTCCATTCTTGGATAGTAATACAGGTAACTATAGTAGGAATACAACCCAATGGATCCAAATACCCTGGGAACCACATTTCTGGATTCTTCCATGGCTAGATCAGGGTCTGTTTCTGAATTATGATGGGTACTGGTTTTTGCCATTGAATCAACGTATTCCTTGAATTCTAACCTCTCCTCATCACTTAGCTGCTGCCATCCCTGCATCATTGACTTTATTTTGCTAGCTGTGGCATGGACGACATCATCCTTGTGATCATCATAATGCTGGCGAGACGACGAGTGTAGAAAATTAGCCTCGGGCTCCTCCAAATCAAAATCATATGGATATGATACCCCTCTGGCATCTGCTATGGATACCCTTAGGATAAGAATTGCTGAAAGGCTCAGAGCAACGAGGAACATCATCCTTTTTTGTCTCAAGATTACCTGCTGCAGTACAAGCTACTGATTAGTACTGAACTAGCTGCAGTAAGTGCAGTTAAGCTGGGTGCTTTTTGCTTTTATAGATCCATACAGAGCATGGGCGGAGCTGAAGTACCTTTCGTTCCCATGGAGATAAGCAGTTAAGCACATGGACCTGGTTGGAGCTATAATAGTGGAGTAGTCACTGTGAGCACTGACTGAGCAGTAATGTTTCGTGGCAAGAGAGAGAGGGATGTGGAGAAAAAGGAGAAATCCTCAAGTAGCAGAAAAAGAACTCGTTTTGTTACTCCAATAAACCCATCACAGTGTGAAGGTCTGTCTCAAGAGAAAGAGCTCACATCTGCCACTCTTGAGCATCCTGCTCCCTCACATACCGAAAAAGTAATTGTAGTGAATAGAGACACATGTCATTCAGACAGCCCATTGTGTAATGATCGTCTGTA